GTAGTGTAGTTGGAAAGGCACTTGCCTGGTAAACGAGGGAACCTAAATTCAAATCCCTCTTCTTGATGCTGGACATTTTTCTCACCTTCATTCATCTACAGAGTGTAAAATTTTTGAACATTTACATGTAAAAACAGAAATTTGAAAATATTGGTCCCCTAATTATTTTAGAGCAAAACATTAAATATAAACATTGTAGGGAACTAAAAGCTGCATTTTACTACAGTTCATATAATTTTAAAGAAACAACGCGCAAAATTTAAATCTTATAAATAACTATGAAAGATACGAACAGATTTTTGAGGAGGACGAAGAAGGGAAAATGTTGTTTTACGAAACTATCATGACGATGGCAAATAATAACAGAAATTGTATTCTCGAAATTTAATTTAGCGACGAATGTACTTTAAATGGTAAAGTAAACTCACAAAAGTACCAATATTAGAATACAGAAAATCAACATTTATTCTTGCCAACTAACACCATATCGTCATAGTGTAAATGTAACACGAGATGGGCCGGTCGTCATCATATCATTGTATAGTAGACCAAAAGCTATAAAGTTATATGGCCATCATAAAATCATCCTATTATGTCGAAGTTAAGTTGTTTACAATAGAAACGGTTTTAGGGTCGTAAATAACGTGTCCACTGCAGGTCGACCGGCTGTTGTGCTTTCGTTCAGGGGCGGCTTTCACTAAATATGTAAATCCACCACTGCATTATTTCTTTACTACCTGCAGCCTGAGGGTTCAGAAATAACCATTCGCTTTGAAAGCCGGCCCTGTTAAATGTGACCAAGAAATGTTTAGAGGACGATTTATTGCCAACCGGTAAGCTTATTGCGAACCACACAAAGGGGATATTTATTTACGGTCAACTACTTTTATGATGGTCATATAACCTTATAGCTTTTGGCCTAGTATACTATATTTTATTCCAAACCATTTAAATGGTACGCACCATTTAAATTTGCTGCAAGGAAGTGTAGTACCAGCTACCTACTAATGATTTAGGAATTGATGAGATTTGGTTTCAATAGGATGGTTCTCTGATCCACAATGCACATTTTGTAATGGATTGTTTAAATACCACCTTTCCCGTAATTTGGTACCGATCGATCATTCGAATGATGTTTTTTTTTGGAGCGGGCACTTGCAAAACTGTGTTTACATCAATGGAACGACTTACAAGATGTCGAAGATTTAAAAGCGGCAATAACTACAGAAAGTGTTTGAATCAGTTGTTACCAATTAGCGACACCGTGAAGAATCTTTTATTATCGCAATTAGGGTATATAATTTTTTTTCACCTCCTGATAGAGTGAATATTGTCTCCTTAGGAGTGGAATTTCCCAAACTATTTTCTTAGTGTGTGCTTACATAACAAAATGAACCTACTGCCCAAATTTCATGTTTATAACTTCAGTAGTTTACGCTCTGCGCTGATAAATCAGTCAGTCACGACCATGGTACAAGAAGACGTGATATGATATTGCGCATTTTCTGTGACGTCAGATTACGTACCCTAATAACGTAAGGGTATGTAATTTGTGACTCAGGGAAGCATATTTTCAATTTCCTAGTCGAAAGTACTACCTATTTAATGGCCGACCCATGGTAGAAGGAGACATGGTATAGGCATCCGATGTACCAATTTAAAAATCGTCTGCGCGTTCATTTGTGACGTCAGGTGGCATCAACGACCTTGTGAGCTTCGCTAGGGAAGTCTAGGAAATTTTAGCTTGAGTTGTCATCGCTCTGTCCAATACGTCAATTAGTTGTCGGCTAACGAAAGTAAATGAACTTAATAATGATTAAAATCTAATTATTGAAAGTTGAACGGTCCAAAAATGTGGTTTCGTGTCAATTTCGATAAATGTGGGACATCAACAAATGCAAATACCAATTTACTCTTATCACTGGAGTGTTGAAAAGAGGTTTTTGACATATTTATGTTCAGTTCTCTCCACAAACCTAAATTCTGCGATACATCACACATACCACTGCAACAACTGAATAATCACAAATAAATTTTTGCAATTTAAAGAATGTATCTAAAGGTCACACAACTTGAACCCTTCAACATCAAAGATACCACCGCAAGCCTTCGCATCCTGTAAAGGTATGTAATCTGTGCCCATGGTCCAAGAAGACATAGTATGATATTGCGCATTTTGTCTGAGGTCATGTGGATCTCATGACCGCCAACTTTAAATTCTGCTGGTTTGTTGCATGTTCGTATTATCACTATCAACGAACGATGGCAAATTTTGAACACATGTTATTAGAATCTGAATTCAGCTTAGTACATTCGAAGATAAGTTAGCCCATGATTAAAAACTGAACCGAATCTCAACCTCCGTTGTAACCTCACATATCACTGATAAATTGACATTTGGCAGCTTTCGTCAGAGACAGCGGTTCAAGCCAGAGATATGTAAAAGAATGTTCAAGCACAGTTTTTCAAGGCAATGTGACGTCACATGGCTGGTGCGCAAAGCGTACGAAAATTCATCCACCTGAGTAGCATACCATGTCTTCTTGTACCATGGTCAGGACAAACACTTTTAGATCGGGACATTTTTTTAACTCTGAATATGTATGTATGAAGAAAGTAAGTAGACTATTAATCTCTTACTTACGTTAAGTTTTATAAAACACACAACAATGCATGGAAACTATAGAACCAAAATAACTACATATTTGATTTTGTAGAACAAGAAATTCCAAAGTAGTTAGAATGAAATTAATGAGGAAAGAGTTTGTTTTATTTCTTTAGTGGTGTTTATACTCAACACATCGAGTTTTTACATTTTTGTAAAATGTCTTACAACAATGATAATTCAAACAAGTTCACATTTATTACTGTATTTTTTTTAATCAAGTACGTTGACGTAACATTGGTTACATATATGCGTCATTTTCATTCTAACGATTTGATTCAATTTTAATCCGTTAACGTAGGATTTTTCATCGAATTCCATTAGTTAGGGCATATTTATTTAAGGGTGGCGTCTGGTTCGGTTTCGCCCAATACTAAATACACTGAAAACATCGTCGTAGTTTCCGGAATTGCATTTTTAAAATACTGAAATCTCCAACCAAGTCAGAATCTAAGTAAACCTGCAGTCTGCTACCGCATCACAGCTCGTTTAATGCCGATTTCTCGTTTCCATAGATTTTGACTTTTCGCGAGTTATTTACCTCAGTCGTGGATTTTTTAATATTATAAATGGTATCAAAAGAAAGCTGACACTTTTCCCCAGGGGACCTCCTATCTCAGAATGCAAAAAACTTCAGCACTTCGTCAAAAAATGCATCAATGTGCCGGTTAAAATGTGATGTAAAAGTTGTTCAACTTTATAATTTTTTTTTGTAAAAACTGCATACTAGATATGAATATAAATATGGAGGTCCCCTGGACTGAAGTTTGTTAATTCGAAATATATTTTTTTTAAAGCGATATATCTCATATTTTTAAAATGCAACTCCGGAAACCGCGACGATGTTTTCAATGTATTTAGTATAGGGCTAAACCGAACCAGACGCCAGCCTTAAAACATGTTACGAGTACTTCGAAAATTTTGAATGGCGATTTTCGAATTATTATTTGCGTCGCGTAACTTTTATCACGTGTGCGTAAAGTAAATTCAAACGGGGGATTTAATTTGTGTTTGGTTTGCTATTATTTGTATATCAGAAAAATCAGAACCTTTGATCTCCCAAACGCGAGATCTAATTTGTCCTACCGAGTCAGCCTTCGCTTGACCACTCATTTCAATTTGTTGTTGCGTGATTTAAGTCGGTTGTTGTCTCGTTTTAATTGATTGCTACATCATTAAATTTGTTGTTGCGTCGCTTAGTTTGTGGTGCGTCGTTTAATTAGTTATTGCGTCATAAAAATTTTTGTTGCGTCGTTTAATTTGTTGTTGTGATGTGTAATGTTTGCAACATTACGTTGTTTCATTTTTGTCGATGGCACATTGTTGTAATATCTTGATATTGCCATCCATTTGTTTCACCTAGGATTTTGTGCCTTTACCGTGTTTACGTATTATTTGCGATGCTTCTAATATTCGTTCCCTGTTCTTAGGCTCAAATTGAAATAAGCCCTTGGGGAGTTATTTCTCATTGTTTTTCCTATTTAGTATTTTTAATTCCTTCACTCTTCCCAGTCCACAGTGCGCTAATTTGCATACACGCGTTCCGCCATTTTTCAAATCACAAAGTAAGTTCAGTTCCATTTTGTTGATAAATTTTCGCGAGTTTTTAAAAATTTGTTCACGTCAGTTTTTGGTGCAATGTTTGAGTTATCACAACATGTAAAATCCCTCTGTTCAAAAAACAATTCTATACCCGGCATCTAAAATAAACACCTGCATTTAATATATCAGCAGATATTGTCACAATGTTGTTAATCCGAATCCATAACAGCAGCAGCAGTAACTCTGGATACGTTAAACCACACATATTTTTATTTTTATTTATAGGTGTATCATATGAAAATTACAAAAATTAAATTTTATAATATTTTGAAGGATCTTTGTTGCTTCGACTGCACTTCAGGGGTGAGGCCAATTTCTAACGTATTCTATTCAGAATTTAAAATAATTTATAAGTTTGTAAAAAATAAAATATATTTATGTAAAACAAGTAAAACACTGACTGCCAGTCGAAATATATTTGTGAAATTTTAGCTTAAATGGGAAATGACGCATCCGATTACTTAAATAAAAACCGTGATACAATGAAGAAAACAATCTTTGACTTTTTGGACACTTAATTTCTAACACTAGTCTTTTTGTCAAAATTTTCTAATATATATGTGTTTTATAATTATTTTAATCGTCATCTGAGCAAATAACTTAGTAGATATTCAGGTGTAAGTTTTTTGCAGTGCCTAAAAAGATTATTCTACAACTGTACTTATGGTTTCATATTTGCTTTCCTTTTTTTTCATACGTTACGCTACAGTGATGGCTACGAAAAAGTACTTACTGCGGTAAAGGTAGTTAAGGACAGAGTAACAAATTTCCCAGCTGTTAAAACCACCGGCTTTTTAGTTCTTTCCAAAAATATTTGCATATTTTTTCTTAGTTTGAAATCCGCTTCATACCAGTTTGACATATAAAAATACTGCCCAACTGAATTGCTCTGAAAATTCATAATTAGACTAAATTTAAAGGAAGATACTAAATTACGTTTGTGATAATGTCGTGTCCATACCAACAATACATAGCAATTTGACACATCATGCAAGAAAAATAAATAACCAGAAAAATAAACTGCAGACTCGGAACTGGTACCTGCAAACCAAATTGTAATATTTTTACCTGAACTACTCGTTAGTACTTACAACAATCATTTGAAACCCAGTAAAGCATATAACAATAATACTAGCGAAAAATTGCAAGAAAATGCCTTTGGAAAAAATGTCTTCAACTGTGTAAGCAAAAGCTACAATTGCTTTATGATATTCAACGCAGTGCTGAAATTTTTCTTGTATTTGTTTTTTGGCGCTCTCATTATAAGTTTTATAGTCTGTAGTTTTAAGATTTTCTTTTAAGATATCAAATTCCGCTGAAACTACTGTTATTAACATACAAGTCAAAATATCAATACTTGAGTTGTTATATGCACTGACAACAACACTCATTATTTGAAAAACCACAGTAGGATAGTAGTACTTTTTAATGTCATAAGGTAACCACCCTGGTAATGGTAAAGTTTTTTCTTCTTTGTGGTCCACGTATGGTACTAGAGTGTAAAAAAACACCACCAAAACACACAAAATTCGAAAAATTTTCGCTACAAGCTGACAGGAACTGACTCGCGTTTTAACCAACATGAGTCTTTCTAATGGATGCCCATAAAAAATATTTCCAGCAAGAGTATCTTCAATATCGAACATTTTTTTCTTATAGTACACAAAATTTGTAAGTTTGCATAAAAAGGTAAAATGCGTCATAAAAAAAAGTAAAGTTTCAGTTAGCTTCGATAAATTTTTTCGATCAATAACCATTTGTACAATCATTGAGAAGAGTTGTCCATAAGCAACCAATAAATTAAACAGGGAACTTAATCTGTAAAGCAATGCGTGCTTTCTGTTGCGACGCGGATAAAATCCAGAAAGTAACAATAGTATTCTTTCGATTTGGAAAGCGTTGCGGAGGTCGTAGTCCTAAAAAATATTTTTTACTAAGACTAATTACTTTAAAATATATGTACTTGAATGGAGAATTCCATTGTTGCCTGTTGCTCGGTAAGGACTAAACGTTTCATATATATGTTTACTAAAAATTAAAATAAAAATCAATTTAATTACTGATCGAATGTTACGAACGAAACAAATCTCTTAGTACTTGTTTTCTTAAATAATTGATCCACATTTAAAATGGTAATTGCAGTATTGAGCAATGGTAAAGGGTTAATTATAGAGGGTTTACTTGAATTGCCGGTATTTTAGTACATATGATTAAATTTTGAATATTTAAATAGTGATTAGAAGCCTTAGAAATTAATGTAGATTTTAAAAGCAAGTATTTTTTATTGTATGGTATTTGTAAATTTAAAATGGCAACCTAATTTTTTCATGTGGTAATCTTTCTCATATAATATAGACATCATTTCAAGTCATGACATTATCGTCCAAAATTCATAATATTCATTAGACAAATATCTATCATATGATAACAGAAAATGTTATAAGTGTAATTGTTTCAAATAGATCATTTATAAAATAACTTTTGAACAAAAGGTAGACAGACAAATTGATCTAAAGTTATTTATTAGACAGAAGTTCTTTCGGCCTTAAAGTACAATCAAACCAATCCAGTTTCTTAGACAAGGTATAAAATTTAATTTTGCGAAGTTCATTTTTTGATGCTAATCCCTATAATAACTTAATATAAATAGGTATGAACAATTAAACACAGGTAAAGAAGCATGTTTCACTTAGGTTTCAAGTGAGTTTTTCTTAAAAATTTTGTGACGTCACCAGCTTTTGGTAGGAACAAGTAGGTATATCAGGTTGACTAGGTACGTGATTTTATTTTAATCAATAAAATAAATTGCTTAATACATTAATTTGATGAAACACCTAGTACAAATAATGGTGAATTAATAAATCACAAGTGTAGATGCATACTGTTTCACACATTTTGGACAGGATTTAGCTAGCAAAATTTTGAGATGGTGTCAACAATTTTTGAAGAGAATAAAAAAAAGTTTATTAGCGATTAATTTATCATGTAATCTTGAAACAAGATTTTAGAGCGGTTGGTTCTGTAGTTTTCAAGTCAAATACTAAAATGTCGTTTTATATTTTTTATTTTTTTTAACGTTCGTTAAAAAAAGTGTAACATTTTTTATTATTTTTTGTTTATAAAGGATACGTTTATTTCATCGCACTAGAAGCGTGAACAAAAGTGTCGTAGCGTTTCATTTTTTCACGCATTTGAGTGAAAAAAAGTGTCGTAGCGTGTTATTTTTTAACGGAAGTAAAACATAGAAGCCTGCCGTTGCTATAATTCATCAACACAAGTGGTTTGTATTAATTTTCTCGGTGTGTTGTGGTAATTTGGACAATGGAATCGGACAGCGGTGATGATTTCTCGTGCACCCCCGAAAAAATTGTCAAGACGGCAAATACGGCTACATTTAATATCTATGTTCCAAAATAAAAAGTTTTTAAAGATGGTGGGTGTTGAGTTTTGTTACGAACGCGAAAATAATTTTGTATGCGACTCGTGAGTTAAGTGGCGGATTTGCGCACTCGCCTTCGGTTCGTGCGGCAGATTTTCCTTCTCGTAAAAAAAAGATACACTTTACTCACTAGTTGCATAAATAGTATTTATCAATCGTCAAAAAAGGGCGATTTAATAACCCCAACTTAATAAAATAAATAAATAAATTTAATACAAATTAAATATTTCGTTACTTATAAAATAACATTCTCCTACAATTTGACTTCGAAGCTACAACACCGAATGCTGCAAAATCTTGCAAACGTTTGAAGGTTTTCGAAAGCATGGTAAATTGTTAATCAAAATGTATCTGTTTATCACTCCCAAAAGATTTTGCTGATTAATTCTAATTAAAATGTTCAAAATATTATGAATCTATACTTTTATGTTTATAATTTTAAGATTGATTAACACAGGGTAACTCAAAAACATATTTTACTGATCAAAGCAACAACGGCTCACCAAATTTTTCCGAACATTTATAGCATAGCACTGTTATTATTAGTACTACACTAAACTGATGGCTAAAATATTGATGGCGTCATCACAAAATTTTGTTAACAGAAAAACTCACTTGAAACTAATTTTTCGAAGAAGTTGTACTGTGAATTGAAAACGGGTAGATACACTGGAATTATGTAAATGTTTTTAGCTTGAAGGAGGAAACTTAATTTATAGTAAGTTGCAAATATGACATATGTACGTTGTCGGCGTCGCGATACAAATCTATGTTTTTTAAATTCCAATTCAAATTTTTTCAAATCATACAGATAGATCATTAAATCATAATTACAATGATATAAACACTATGATAAAAGTTTAAACAGTTATTTCTAGAAATTATCTAGATAATGGATTGGTCGTATTTTTAAGAATAAACTGGCTGTCAGTAAATACGTAGTATATGGTTTTGAGAAGAAGGAACCGTAAGATATTCCTTAGAATAATATGTTTATTAAATTACTTATATTTCTTGTTTTGATTAAGTGCAAAATTAAATGTAATATTATAAAGCAGGAGCACTGTGTAATTTTAGATGTTGTGACATTTAATTGTCAAGATAAAATTTTGGATACTTAAAAAAATATTACAAAATATTAAATATAAAAACCAACGAACTGTTGAACAAAACGTTTGGAATTCCGGGTCATAGTGGACTAGCAACATTTGAATAAAATTAAAAAAATCAAAATTCATTGAGAACGCGTTGGCATAATTGAAACATATTTTCCAAGAAAAATAAACACTGCTTTAAAATTAATATTCAATATATAAAAACTAACAATATTATTTAATGTAAAACGAGGCTTCCTGTTAAAAGCACTTAAAAAATAATTAAGTTTTATTTTACTGTAGCTTATATAGTCAAACCGAGACTACTGAATCATACGATGGAAAAAAAAGATATATCTGTATAAACGTACGTCCAAAAAATACGACTTTCAACGCCGTGCTTCAGTTGTACGACAGGCCCCAAAACCAACAGTACTTTGATGACCGATTATTTACTCTTTTGTTACACATTTTGATAAAATTCATTTATAAACACAACTTATTAGTTACTCTTCTACCATACAAATAAGTACATACTTACAAGTTACATTGAAATTACACTTTTTATAGTGAAAGCAAAAATTTCCACATTTTAAGAGACCTAAGTTTTGTATAAAACTCTGTACCTGCCCTGGTTTTAGGTTTTACAAAAACAGCTACAAAAGTGAGCAGTATTTTTACTTTTGTAAAAAAGAAGAATAAAACAATCTTAAAAATGTTAGACGTTTTTAACGAGTGCAGCAAACGCACTCCTTTAAAAACACAACTAGACTGACTAATAGCTAGGAGATTAAAATGAGTGCATGATATGCACGTCACGTAAGCCCGAACATGTTCGTGAACGCCATTTCTGCATAACTAATGTGTACTGAAACTTTCGTTCCTATCGATGTTGTTGAAATCATTCATAATTTGTACTGATTCGCAGTAGTATTTACTGTGTTACACGATAGCAGTAAAATTGGGTCGATTCAATAATAATTATTTACATAACAAGTTATTAAATTATCTTTCACTGGATGAAGGAGCATAGTAAAATTATGAAGCGCTAAAAAGCTGAGTACTTCTAAGCTCCTAAATCCAGCAGAACTTTCATAACGTTTTTTGTATAAAATTGTGTCGGAAATCGCCTAATGTGACGAGCCGTCAATTCACAAGAAATTCGCAATAAAAAGACGAAAGACAAATCCCCAGAACGTAAAAATAAAATTCGCAAATTTGAAAATCTGATTTGCCTGACATGCATGACCAAATTTGCATATAGTACCTACCATCCAAGCAGGTAATCAGAGTCAGCCATCAATCCTCTAACGTAAGAACAAAATTCGCATATTCGCAAATATCGAATATAATTGCGCTTGTCAGACATTGCGAACAACAGTTACTTTAATTAAAATTCGTACCCAAATTAAAAGAATAGCAGGCGAGATCCAGACGCATAAATCGCAACCAAAAAGTCGGAACAAAGAACGCCGCCGTTACTAACAGAAATGAAGCACTACATGGGAACCGAATGATGCATGGTGAAAAAACTGAAAAATTTACCAGTTAACCTGATCCGAACTCGCGTAAATCCGGCAGAAAAGAAATTCTATGCGGAGCGAAACTAAATCTTATAAAATCGCGAAATACAATCTAAGACGTATTCCATATAGTAGACCTTTTTATTGCACTCTAATGTCGCGAAAGTCAAATAAAATAGGCTAAAATTCCTATAAAAAACAAAACCTAGGAACCAAATTCAGCCAAGCCTCGAGGTGCCGTGGGTCGTGTTATCCTGTTTCGGGATTTTGTCCGAATTTTTGGCGAATTTTGAAGAAAACTGGACTTAGAAAAATTTGCTGAATTCAGGAACAAGTTAGAAAAATTTACATGTTATATCTATACAGTCTACTTCGGTCTCACTACCCTAATGCATTCCAAGACCAAGAGATATTCACGAAGTCCGGAGTTTCTTGGGATTATGCATGGATGGGCTTTAGAACAACCTCGAAACCGACGATCGCGACCTATCCAGAAGAAACGTGCATATGGTATTTTATTATATAATATTGTTAACTACATTATTAAGTCGGAAAACATTTTGGAGTTAATAGGTTTGAATGTTCCAAAGAAGAACTTAAGAAATAAAATAACTTTTCACCAAAGCATACCAAGATCCAATGCTGCGAAAGCGTCGCCGTTATACCAAATGTTGGAGTTCCATAAAGATATTGAGCGAAGTCTGGACATATTCGATTGCAGATTATCTGAAATCAGAAATTGCTCCATTTGATCGAAATATAATGCATTTAATCTTCGTAGAATATAATGATATATTTAAGGAGTTTAATAGTAATTCTATTCTGTTGTATAATATTTTTGTAATTTGATATTTGTAATTTGTTAATTGTATAAGCAATGCCCCTTAGTAATTGGGCTCTATGCCTGTTAAGGGACTAGAATAAA